CTTTGGGTTTGTGGGCCCAGATTTTGGAGCCCTAATCTAAGGGAACTAGCTCAGTTTTGGGGATTAGCCTTCAGTCATTTTGGGGATTCAATGTGGCATCCTTAGTCTGGGTTGTCAGGGCCCCCCTCTCTGGATGCCTATCTGGGGATTCATTTTTGGCATAATGTCTTAGGAACTCAATCTAGGGGCTCAGCATGGGAGCTTCCTGAGGGAGGTGTCAATTAAATGGATAACCTAGGAGCTCATTCTGGGACACTTAGACCTGGGGTTCAGTCTTTGACATGTCAATCTGGTCATCATATGATGGCTTAATTTAGCCTGAAATGTTCACTTTAGAGTAGAGTCTAGAGTAGGAGTACTTAACCTGGAATGCATGGACTTATAAAGTATCATGCATAGAATCCAATTTGACTGTGTGTATTTGAATGCAAGAAACGTATATCTTGTTTTCACTAACCTCCAATGAAATTTGACATTTCTTTCAATAATGAATGTAGGCAACCCACCACAATAGTATTAGCAGTAGCTATGACTTTATTATCAATACAGATATTTTTCGTAGCAGATCTCAAAATATTGTTCACATTTATCATTAATTTGAAATTGCAGTACTGCAGCCATTTAACCTGTACATTGGTCATAGTATTTAATGCATTAATAAAGAAACATATATTACAATTCATTTTTGTAATATTTTGATAGCTGTATTTTAATATAATTGGTTTCCTCTGTAATCCTATATTTTATTTTATGCATTTAAAAACATTATTCCGGGTAGAAATATATTGGCTTCACCAGATTGTGAGATGGGTTCAAGGCACAGAATAAGTGAAGTACTCTCAATATAGTCAGCCTGAAATTCAGTCTCAAGGCTATCTCAGGTTTCATTCAGAAGCCTTGGCTTGTTGGAGCCCGAAAGGGGACTCCATGTGTGGGGATTTCTAGCAGGCCTACTGTGATATTGTGATTTATAGTAAGGCATAAGTATTTGGAATTTGGTCTTCCAACTCTTTTCTAGCGCAAAGCCCCTAATCCCCCTTTAGAATTTCCTAAGTGATAACAGTGGTGAAAGGTGTCTTTTGTTATGCTAATGAGGCAACTTTTGGAAATTCCATAGGTATCCTAAGGATGAGGGCTGGTTGCCTGTGGAGCCAACCATGTGATTGGAGGGTTGGAACTTTCAGTCTTATCCCTTGACCTCCTGGGAGGGGAGAGAAGCTGGTGATTAAGTTCAATCACCACTGGCTAATGATTTATTTAATTATGCCTATGATGAAGCCTCCATAAAAACCCCTCAAAACAGGGGTTAGACAGCTTTCGGGTGATAAACACATGCAGATTTGGGGAAGGTGGCATTTTCGGGAGCATGGACTCTCCATATACCTTTCCCATACCTTGTCCATGCATCTCTTCCCTATGGTTTTTGCCATTATATCCTTTTATAACAAACCGGTGATCTACTACTAGTAAAATGTTTCTCTGAGTTCTGTGGGCTGCTCTAGCAAATTAATAGAATCCAAGGAGAGGGTGGTTGGAACCTCTGATCTATAGCTGTTGGTCAGAAGCATAGGTGACAACCTGGATTTGCAATTAGAGTATGCATGCGTGGGTATAGGGATGAGTCTTACAGGACTGAGCCCTTAACCTATGGGATCTGATGCTAGCTCCAGTGAGATAGTATCAGAATTGAGTTGAATTGTAGGACACATCCAGATGAATGTGGGAGAATTGCTTGGTGGTGTGGGAAAACACCCCACACTTATTGGAGCTGGTAATCAGAATCTAATCACCATGCAAGTTTGAGGTCTCAAACCCTGGGAACTCAGGCAAAGGTGCTTAATCTCAGTCTCTTCATTTGGGCCTCTTTGAACTCAATCAAAATTGCTGCGTCTGCCAGAATGAGTCTCTGGAGCTGGGTAGGAGTTTATGCTTCCTGAGTTTATCAGTCTGGGAATGCTCATGATGCTCATCACACACCATGTTGTTTCCTGCCTCTGATTCTTTGTATACATTGTTTCTTCAGCATGAAAGGCTCTTTCTTTCTTTTAGTAACACCCCCACCCCTTGCAGAAACTCCCTATCTCCAGGCAAAATCCCACTTAAACTTTGCATCACCTCTGGCATCATCTCTGAGGCTTCTCACAACCCCCACCGCTAGGTCAGGGACACCCTCTGCTGGATTCTCTGGGTTCCTGTGCTCCTTTCTCCTATGGCATTGCACAGAGCTGGAAAACTAATGAAGTTTAAGTTTCAGTGTCCTGTGCTGACACAGGCCAGTTCCAAGTCCCTGGTTATTTTATTGAGCATTGTAAATCTGAGGCACATTTAAGATTTGTCACTGCACAAGAACAGTTAAAATAACTGGAAATGGTACAGCTCTTATGTAAAAGAAACTAGATAGTTTTCCCAAATTTGACAATAATGTTAAAATGTATATCACTAACAATGTTTTGAAAAGTTGAAGGTTTTCTAAATACCAATAATAAAAAATTTTGATCCACTGAATGGGATTGAATTCTTTTTATTTTCTCTAGGAAATGTTATTACTAAATAATTGTCATATTTATTTACAAAAGGATATAAAAAATGAAAACATTAGTAGGGGGTGAATCAGGCAATTAATAAGAATATTTTACTTTTCTGGATTTGAGGATGTTTGTGGCATTTGTCAGTTTAAGAAATTATAATTCCAGTTCTGGCTGGTGTGGCTCAGTGGATTGAGTGCTGGCCAGCAAACCAAAAAGTTATAATTCGTAAAATTGGAGATTTCTTTTGTAAATCTAAAGCAACATTCACTGTTGTACCTAAATCTGTACTATTTTTCTCAAACAGGGCTTGCAAAATTGTATCTCCTTCAGGCCCTTCAAAACTTAGGTGCAGCCTGAGCACTCATCATCCTCTAAGGTGCCTGGACAAATTTTGCATGCCAGACTTTGAGCTTCTTGAGCATCTGACCAAACCCCAGGACCCGACAGAATTCAGCACAGGGCCAGGTGCAGAATCATCAGTATCGTTTGTTAGCAATGGTCTAGTGCAAAGTTTGCAAAGTTTGCTCTGAGAGAAAGTCATCTATAATGCTTTTCCAAGAACAGCTTTATTGAAATATTATTTATAAGTTTCACTCATTTAACATGTATAATTCAATGGTTTTTAGTATCCACGGAGTTGTGCAACTATATTAGTTTGAAAGGGCTGCTATAACAAAATACTACAGATTGGTAACTTTAACAGTAGAACTTTATTTTCTCTAAAATGTGGAAGCTAGAGGTTTGAGATCAAGGTGTTGGCAGGTTTGGTTTCTTCTGAGGCCTTTCTCCTTGGTTTCCAGATGTCCACCTTCTCTCCGTGTTCACATGGTCATCTCTCCATGCATGCATGTGTCCTGGTGTCTCTCGCTGTGTTCTAATCTGCTCTTCTTGCGAGGACACCAATCATATTGGATCAGGATATACACATATGTACTCATTTTACCTTAATTATCTCTTTAAAGGCTCCATCTCCAATATAGTTCTATATTCTGAGGTAGTGGCGGTTAGGGCTTCAACATATGATGAGTTGAAGAGGGCACAGCTCGGCCCCTAGAACAACCATCACCACATGTAACTTTAGAAAATTTTCATCAACACCCCAAAAATCTTGTACCCATTAGGAGTCAGATACCATTTCCCCCCTCCTCAAGCCCTGAGTAACCATTAAACTATTTTCTGTGTACAGATTTGCCTATTCTGTACATTTCATATAAATGGTATTATACAATGTGATCTTTTAAAAATATATTATTTGTTTATTTCTAGAGAGAGGGGAAAGGAGGGAGAAAGAGAGGGAGAGAAAAATCTATGTGAGAGAGAAACATCTATCCAACATTGATCAGTTGCCTTTTGGATGCACCCAACCAGGGACCTGGTGCAATCCAGGCAGGTGCTAGTAGGGAATCCAACCTGTGACTTTTCAGTTTGCTGAACAATGCCAAAACCACTGAGCCACTAACCCGGCAGGGCACAATATGGTCTTTTCTGACTAGTCAGTAGTGGTGTCACCTTTTTCATTCCTGATCTCAGTAATTTTGAGTCTTCTCTCTCTCTCTTTTTTTAGTTAGCTAATCTAGCTAAATGTTTGTCAATTTTGTTGAACTTTTCAAATAATCAACTTTTGGTTTCATTGAGCTTCTGTATTGTTTTTCTATTTTCTACTCAATTTATTTCCTCTCCAATCTTTATATCCTTCTTTCTGCCTGCTTTGTGATTACTTTGTTCTTCTTTTTCTAGTTTCCTACAGTAGAAGGTTAGGTTATTAATTTGATTTGTCATATAGGCATTTATAGCTATAAAATTCCCTTTAAACATTGGTTTAGCTGCACCTCATAGGTTTTGGTGTGCTGTGCTTCCGTTTCTATTCAATTCGAGATGTTTTCTAATTTCCCTTGTGATTTTTTTTCTTTGACCCATCTGTTGTTTAGAAGTGCGTTAATTTCCACATATTTGTGAATTTCACACATTTCTTTCAGTTACTGATTTCTAATTTCACCGCATTGTGGTCGGAAAACATCCTTTGCTTGATTTCAATCCTTTTAAATCTATTGAGGCCTGCTTTGTGACTTAGCATATGATTTGAACTGGAGAATTTTCCTTGTGCAGTTCAGAAAAATGTGTATTTTGCTATTTTGGGTGCAGTGCTCTACAGATGTAACGATGCTTTTTTTTAATGCAGATTTTTAGGCTATGCCCTTTGAGGTTGATTCTTCTACCCCAAGGACTGGTATCTGTATTGTTAATAAGTACCCCACATCTTTTCTGAGCAGTACACACGGCCCAGAATCCAGGGGCTTGGAAACCCACGGCCACACGTGTCCTCCACTTGCGGCTTCCTTTGATTTAAATACTGCGCGCGAGTAACTGTGGTGGCGTCATCCATTGCTCCGATCAACGTTTCTATTGCACTAGTCTTGCTGCCAAGTAAGCTGTAAGAAGTCTGTTCTCAGGCTCGGTTTTCGATTCATTCTGTCTGGGCAGTGCTATGGAGGGATTGGTCTGCCTGGGGATCACGTGGCCCAGGGGCCAGATGATGGCGGGCGTAGGGGAAGATTTGAGAGCCCTCTTTGGAGCTGGCGTCCGCGCGGCGCTGGAGGCCTGGCCTGCCTTGCAGGTGAGAGGGGCCGGGGCCGGGGCCGGGGCCGGGGCCGAGGCCCGGAATGGTTTGGGCCTGGAGCAGAATAGGAATTGGCCGGGATTGGTGCTTGCGTCTCGGCGGCGTAAGTGGCGAACTCCCACGTCACCTCAAGTGGGCTCCCTCTCGGGCTGACGTGGTACACTTGGGCCTATGTTCACAGATCGCTGTGGAGAATGGCTTCGGAGGAGTGCACAGCCAGGAGAAGGCCGAGTGGCTGGGAGGTGCAGTGGAGGAGTACTTCTTCCGCAATGGTGAGTGTGAGGCGCTGCGACCTGTGTGTGGGGGTTGGTGAGGTTAGGGAACGAGGGGGCGAGGGGGTCTGGAGCAGAAGGCAGGTTGTGGAGAGTTGGTACCTGAGGGTGAGGTGGAGTTGTCGTTGGTACCTGAGGGTGAGGTGGAATGAATACAGGCTTTGGAATCAGAATCCAGAGTTCAGATAGATGCCTCACGGGCAGTTATCACCCTGGACGAGTCATTTTACCTCCCTGAGACTAATTCCTAAAATGGGTACAAGATCCACCCTCGAGTCACATAATGTTACTTAAAATTTTTCTGCAGCCACTCTCATAAAGTAAAAAGATGCAGGTGAAATTAATGGTATTCAAGTCAATACATCCAAAATATGTCAACATGTAATCAGTATAAAATACTATTAGTGATATCTTGTACATTTTAGCATTAAGTTTTCAAAACTTGATGCGTATTTTACAGTTTTAGCACATCTCAATTTGGCCTAGCCACATTTTAAGTACTCAATAAACACATTTGACTATTTGAACAACGGAGATCTACACCTTAGATGTGTCTTGAGGGTGATATAAGAAATAAGGGGCCCTGCAGAGTACCTTTTGAATAGTATTAGTTTTACAAAATTCTTCATTCAGTTTTTTAGTCGTGGAGATGACATTAGGCAGAGACCTTTCTCTCAGGAAGTTTACAATCTAGTGAGGGATCCAGATAAGTAAATAGGCATTTACACACAGGGTAGTAGGTGTTCTAATAAGGAGGAGCTCAGGGTCCTTGGGTAACATGAGACTTGGGAGGAAGCTTCATTTGGAGATTGTTGAGGGAGGTGATGATTGAGCTGAGTTTTAAGGGCTGAGAAAGAGTTAACTCGGTGTGGGAGAGCAACACTCAAATAAGTTCTGTGATATGAGGAGATTACGTGTTATATTTGGAAAGTGGCAGGGTGCTCAGTATTGGAGTGTGTGTGTGTGTGTGTGTGCGCGCGGGCGCGCGCGCGTGTTTGTGGGTGTGTGGAGGAGAGAAACGGTAGAGAGTGAGTTGAGGGGTAGGGAGGCCCCTGGAAAAGGATAGGATGTGGAAGGCCTTAGAAGTCTTTGATTTTGTCCTCTAGGCCAGCGTTGACCAAATTGCATGGTATGGGAGAGTAGTTCTGTTAGATGTTCAGTGAAGAAAAAGTTTCTCCAGTTAAATTATGTAAGAGAAACTCTTTCCTTAAGCTCTTGCTTGAGAGTCACAAGAATCATTAACATAGTAAAGGCTTGGATAAGGATAAGAACTAAAAAGAAGCCTGTTTACCTTTGTTTCCCATTAACTTTCTACAATAGATTCCTTTAAAACCCAGCAGGACAGTTATTTCCCAAAAGCAAAATATGAGCACTGCAGTAGGTGAGAAAAATTAATCTGCAGGTTCTAAGGTGAGTAATAGGATGGGATTTGCTGGCTAGGAAGTTCATAGAGTAATCAGTATGGAGCATGGACTGGAGAGGGAAAGATTGATGAGGAGGCTGTTTCTGTGTAGAAAACAATGAGGTCTGAACTAGGGCTTTGGTGATAGTCATGGAAAAGAATGGGTAGATTAGGGACTTGGAAATGGTTTGACTGTAGAGGGGGAAGGAAAAGGAGGCAGGTTTCTGGTATGAGTGCCTGGGTGGTTTAGGTGCTTTTCGCGGAACAGAGGAACCCTGTGGGATGAGAAGTAGTTTTTGGTTTTTTTTTTTTAGATTTTAGTTATTTATTTTTAGAGAGGGGAAGGGAGGGAGAAAGAGAGGGAGAGAAACATCCATGTGTGGTTGCCTCTTGCACACCCCCTACTGGGGACCCAGCCCCCAACCCAGGCATGTGTCCTGACTGGGAATTGAACAGGCGACCCTTTGGTTCGCAGGCCAGTGCTCAATCCACTGAGCCACACCAGCAAGGGTGAGAAGTAGGTTTTAAGGGTAAGGTGATGAGTCTGGCTTTGGATGTGGAGTGTCTCAGGCACCTGTAAAGTGTAGTCTGGGTTGGAGACAGGTTTGGGGGATATTAGGTTAGAGTGGCTGGGAAAGCCAGGGGGGTGAATGAGGTCTTCCAGAGGGAAAAGAGAGCGAGGAACTTTGTGAGAGACTTTCTTGAGTAATTTTGTAATTCAGAAAAAAAATAAGGACCCTTATCGTAACTGAAGCCCCAAGAGGGAAGCTTAGCCAGAGTCACGCAATAGGATGTTGATGTCAAGGCTATGGTATTTCATCATTGCAAGTGTTTATATCCATTTCTTCTTACCTATTGCACTGATCTATGGCCTCCTGTATCTGTGGAGCCACAGTTATGAAGGGTCTCTCCATTTTAAAAAAGGGATGTTCAAACCTGGGAGTGCAGTGCACTTCAGCAAATAAAAGGCTCACTGTTTGGATCCTTACCCACCAACCAGATGTGCACCCAGTACGTGGGTATTGAAGAGTACCAGGCAGGAGTGATGAAATTGCCTAGCCTTTGACCAAAGGGCCCTATTCTTTCCTACTCAGCTGACTTGGAGCTAGATGAGGTGGAGGACTTCCTTGGGGAGCTCATGACGAATGAGTTTGACACCGTTGTGGAAGACGGGAGTCTGCCCCAGGTGAGCTTGTCATGGGCACAACTGCCATCTCTTTGCCTGCAGTCTTTCTTCTCCCCAAGTGTTTATTTTAGGCTAAGACTCTTGGCTCTAATCCTTTTCTTGAGTCTCGCATAAGAGCCTTTTATGACTCTCTGTTGCCTAATGGGAAATCTGTAGTCTTCCAAGGCCTTTTCAAACCCTGCCTCTTCTCTTTTCTCTTGAGACATTATTCTCAGCCAGGTCTGTTCCTTATCCCCATCCCAGTAACTGGGCAGGTGAGGCCAGTTACTTTTTCACCCCTGCTCTGGTTAACATCACTCCCCCTACCCCCATCTTGCTGGGGTTGCCTTCCCTTTTAAATCTTCCATCTTTCAAACCCAGTTCTAGTGCCTTCCCTGCTAGGAGGCCCTCCTTCAATATTTCAGGACTTTATCTGAGCCCTTCATATGTGTTTCCTTCATTAGTGAACTCTTTGGGGAAGGAAAGAGCTCCATTCTCTTCTTGGAAAATCCAAACCCTTCCCCACTGTTGCTCCAAACATGGGCTGTTGTAGGTTCTCTAGAAAATCCAGGCTGGTTGAATGTTTTCTTGGTAGGTGAGCCAGCAGCTGAAGACCATGTTCCACCACTTCCAGAGGGGTGATGGGGCCGCTCTGAAGGAGATGACCTCCAACATCACCCAAAGAAAGTGCAAGGTTAGAGCCACCACGCTTATGACAGCCAGGGAGATGGATGAGGATGATGCGGACAGCGTGGAGGACATGGAGGTAAAAGGGGTGCCCCTTGGGTGGGGAGATAAAGATATTTTCAATTTCTGGGAGATCAGCTAGTTTCATAGGGAAGTGATAGAGGTGGGAGGGTAGCGGTTGTATTATCCAGAGCGGGCAGGGAACTTTCTTAAGTTAACACAGCTAATCCTTGCAAAGCTGGGAGGAGAGCCTGGGTCTCTCAGTGGCCACAGCTTGGAGGCGTTGTATTTAGTTCTGTCTTTTATTTCTCCTCCAGGTCACAGCTACGAATGATGGGGCAGCTACTGATGGAGTCCGCCCCCAGCCTGAACCCTCCGGTACAGACTCCCAGACTATTAAGGAAGAGGATATAGTAGAGGATGGCTGGACCATTGTCCGGAGAAAGAAATGAGTGGGTCTGGAAATGGTTTGGGCCCTCGTTTGCTAGTTGTTTTGAGATTTTTTTCAAGGCTTGTGGACCTTTGGACTGGTTATCCCATCTCCACCCTCTCCCTCTTCCCCTGTCTTGCTTCCTCCAGGGGAAGAAGAGCACTAGGGTCCTTGGTCTTGGGGTGGTGGGACCTGGTTCACCACATCCCCTTGGGCTATAAGTTACAATCTGAATGATGAATGATGAGGCCTGGTTTCGCAGCACAGTGCCTTAGGTGCAGTCAGTGTGAAGAGAGAAGGATGAGTGGGTGTAGCTGTGGCTGAAGAAGCTGAATGCTGTTTGAGAGTGCGCAGGTAGATTTATGAAGGGAGATGACCAGCAGAACCAATACTTCTGCGGGGTCAGGAATAGTGAGATGAACATACAGCTGGAAGAGAGATTCCTTGATGATGTGAATGAGAGTTGTGACACCTCTCCCACTTCCCTGCTACACACACACAGACACACACACACACAGCAGGAGCAGCAGCAGCTCTATACCCCTGTCCAGAAATTGGAACCTCCCAGGAACACTCCTTTCTTGCAGCCCGGCCTCCAGCCCTGGGTTCCTTCAGGAGTTCTAAGACCTTGGCAAGGTATTGAGCTTGGGTGACCTGGGCTTTGTTTTTTTGTTTCATACAACCTCTTTCCAAACTCTTCATCCAATTCCATCCAAGTCCAGGAATGAGGCATAAGACCTGAATAAATAATACCTTAATGTTTAATCTGTTTGCTTGACCTGTTGTAAATAGCCTTGGAGTCATCCTTCTGGAACCTGAGGTTCAGAGCTCAGCAAGGGAGCAGTTTTTGGGCCCATCCTAGCAGTCTTGTACTTTAGACAAACAGACAGACGAATGGAGCACAGCAGTGCCCTGAAAGTTTCCGTAAGCCTGAAATAAACTGTATTTTTCTTTAAAAAACAAAACCAAGAGTATCCATTGTTCTCCCCCGTTTCCCTGTCCTGCCCAGTGGCCCTGCCATGGGTCTGGACGATAAAATAATGGGTAGCCTTGGGGCTGGATAGAAGCTGTAAGCCTTGGAGAGGCAGGAAGAATCGTCACTGCCCCACCTAGCATACATGTGGAGACACTGGCTGCGGGGGCAGGGGTGGGCCAGGGCCATGAACTCAGTAGAAGAACTGGCACTTGACTCCAGGTCTCCTGCCTCTGGTACTTGGGGTAATTGGGTGGAGGCAGGATCTGCAGGGTATTGAGGGGATGGGGGAAAATGGCCTAATTCAGGCAGGTCTAGCAACAGTTCCCACCCCCTCCCAGGGGACAGGGATTAAAAAAATTTAACATCACTAGGAATATTTCTTTTAAAAGCCCACATTTTGTGAAAAGATGAATTAAAAAACCCAAGACCCAGCATTTGGGATTGCAAGTGCCCATGATGGGAGTTCAAGTATTGACTGAGCTGGGAGGGAGAGGGCTGGGGCCCCCAGTCGGACATGGGCAGCTAGAGTGTGGGGCAGGGGCCCCAGTTCTTCCCAAACCCTCTAGGTCTTGTCTCGGGTCTGGGGGGCTTCAGAGGGTTCAGCAGTGGCTCCTGAAGCTGCCACCTGTGCCTCCTCCATCTCCCTGTCCTCAGACAGTGTGGGCCCTGGGCAGAACGTGTCCCCACGGCCTGCCCGGCCAAGCACAGCCATCCAGCGCCTCTGCAGCTCCTCTGTCTCAGGACTGAAGTACCAGCTCAGGTGGCTCTGGGTGATCTTGAAGACATGCCGTCTGTCTGGCCGCTCCCCTGCCTCAGGAGGCCCCACCTCAAAGCCAATGAGGGGCAGACTGCGCTGGGCTTTCACATCCTGGGGAATGGACAGAGCCAGAGTCACCTTGGGGCTTGGCTTCTCACCGGTTTTTCACCCATTAACCTCCTCTTTTCCTTCACCTGCTCAAGAACCTTCTAAGGCTCCACTGGTAGCAATAGGAAAATGTCAGAACTGGGGCCAGGACTCAGGCTGGGTTCAAATACCTGTCTCCTACATCCCAAAACAGTTAGTCTAGTCATGTTAGTGTATACCAAAAGTTCTCAGGCCTTGCCTAGGCTGTTGCCCCCTTTTATATGTTCTTCCCCTTTCAAATGGGATCTAGCAGTACCCCATCTGCACTCTAGCTTCTAGGAAGCTAGACCCCTCCCGCAACTCACCCCACTTTCCCCACATACATTGGCCCACAATCCTTGTTTCTAGCCAGTCTTTGTCTTACAAGGGTGGGGGTTCTGATTTCCACTTAGGCTCCCCTAATTCATCAAGGCCAAGGCGAGGTCAAGGACTGAAGGGGAAGGGAGGGCAGCCTAGTTTTGGCAGGTGGCTGAAAGGACCCAAAGGAGTAGGATGCATACCTGAGGGGCTCCATAGATGTACAGCACCAACGGTTCATTCTCAGGGACCACAAACCATGCCTTGTGCCAGCCTTTCCCGCCCTTCTCCATGTAGTGCAGGAAGCTGCAGATGACGCTGTTCTCTGCAGCCACTGAAGCCTGTTTCTGTGACCAGAGACATAGGGGGCATCAATGTTGACAGAAAACCTAGCCTGGCTCCTCTGGGCTTCAATACCCTGCCAGCGTAGGTATTGCTATGCACATACTTCAGATGAGGATGCTGAATTGAGGTGGCCGTAGTGACTTGCCCAATGTCTCAGTGAATCAGGTCATGGCTGCTATCCCTACTAGTTAGGTGGGAGGGGTGTACTGCTCTTAGCAGGGGCACCTACGTGCCAGTCAGGCATTCTTCTATCAGTCCACTTATTCCTCAAGTGATTTATGCATTTATATCTCACCTGTTTGTCATTTTTTTGGCCATGTATCCATTCCCTACACTCAGCGAGAGGCAATCTAGCATTGTGGTTAAGGGGCTGGGGGCTGGGTAAGAAAGACTGGCTCAGAATCCCAGCTCTAGGTGAAAATGCATTGACTTGGAAAGAAAGCGTGTAGAGGTACTGTAAGGATTAAACAAATTAATAGATGCAAAGTGCTTAGAATAGTGCCTGGCATAGAGTAAGGGTTCTTTAAATGTTAAATAAATACCTCGATTTGGTTAAGAAACAAAACTAAAACATGCATGTGCCTAGCAAGATAGGAAGCGTGTTACTGGTTATCTAGTGGGTAGAAGAAATAAGGTGCTTTTATTATTTTTGTTTCTATTGTCTAATTTTCTTCAGTGCACATGTCCTACTTTGTAATAAGATAATTTGTTAATTAAAAAACATGCGAGCTCTGCTGCTCACTGGCTGTGTAACTTGGGTTAATAACCTCCTTGGGCCTCAGTTTCCTCATTTTTAAAATAGGGATAGTAATAGCATGGATAGATTAGTTACTGTGAAGATTAAATGTCTAAAGCACTTAAATAAAAAGTACTGGCTTTCATTCACTCACTCTTGCATTCGTTTTACTTACTCCAAGCCTGGATCACTTGTTCAGAGGATGTGATCCATGGCACCATATGGTTTCAGAGATAGCCAGGCCTCAGTCACTCTGGGTGGGTGGCTGGGGCCCATGTGGTTGGTGTGTAAGGGTTAGTGGTTATAGGCCTGGCTCTTACCTCCAGGATGGATCTCCGGCGCTGAGGTGTATGCTGGCTGCAGGCTGGGCTACTCCCAGGCACCCCGTGCAAGGCCACGTAGCAGTCAGTGCACACACGGTTGGAGCGGTTGTTGTCATAGATGAGGCGGGCCCGGAACTCAGAGCACTTCCCACAAACCACCTGGAGTGGCAAGTGGGCAAGAGATGCCTGATTCCAGAAGGCCTTCCCCTTCACTGTACCAATTCCCACAGCTGACTCATGGCCTCTTCCCCATGTGGACCATGCCCTCTGAGAAGTGGGCCTTCAGGCTGCCAGCCCATCCCCTCCCTAGCTCTGCCCCTGCCTCCCAACACTCACATGCCCACAGGCCTTGCAGTGGTGCCTGCGCTTGGTGATGGAATTGAAGGGCTCCTGGCAGCGCATGCACATGGTGACTTCCTTTTCTCGGATGGGTGTAGGTGCCCGCTTCCCAAGATCCACATTCTGGAGAGAGGGCCATGTCCCAGGTCAGAGACAGCTATTCCCCCATCCAGTTCAGCCAACCCTTGCTCCTGCCCCAGAGCTTGGTTCATCATTAGAAGGCAACTGATACAGTTAGAAGACCTGTCTTTGAGTCCTGCCTCTATCCCTACCTCATTGTGCTACTGAAGACAAGTCACTTCTACTTTCTGGGCCTCCATTTCCCCAGTGATTTTTCTGTGGTCCTACCAACAGAAGACTGTGCTTTTGAAGTCATGCACTGCCTCTCTGGTCCTTACTCTCTGGGAAGGGGAGAGGAGCATCTCAAGGCAAGGTGGGTACTCAGAGGCCTGCTGTAGAGGGAGGGGGTGGGGACTCTTACTGGAGAGTTAGGCGGTGTGTCTTCATCTTCCCTGTTTGTTGAGTTCAACAGTTTGAAGGTCTCCAGCGTCTGTTCATGCTTCAGAAGGGTAGAGTTGATGGCCTGGGGAGAAAGTATAAGAAATGAGAGGTCAGATCACCTCACAACCCACCCATTTCCAACCTCACCTCATTATCTTATGACCTAGCCCGGAGTCAGAAAAGTTGGGTTCTAGGCACAGCTCTGCTCCTTGCTAGTTGTACAACCTTGAGCAAGTCCCTTCCTATATCCAGGTCTCAGTTCTTTTTTTTTTTTTAGACAGAGGGGAAGGGAGGGAGAAAGAGGGAGAGAAACATCGATGTGAGAAAGAAACATCAATTGGTTGCCTTTCATATGTGCCCTGACTGGGGGCTGATCCGCAACCTAGGCATATGCCCTGACTGGGAATTGAACCCGCGATCTTTCCTTTTGCAGCACGATACCCAGCCAACTGAGTCATACCATTGAGGGCTCAGTTCTTATATTTGTGAAATGGGGGAGGGGGATCAGTGGCTGAAAAACCTCAGAAGGCCTTCCTAGCCACTGTCTGGGCTTAACTCACTGGGGTTACACTCTCAGAGGAGCCAGCTTTCTAAAGGAAGAATTTGTGAGTGTCTGCTTAACCTCTGGACCTCAGTGAGTTTATCTGTAAAATGGGGTTGGTAAAGTTTGTTGTCCAGGCCCATACTGGTCAGATGTGAGTTTTACGGGGGAGTTCACCAACCCTGAGACCTGTTAATACTTCTCCAGCCCCCTACCACAAAGCCTTCTTGGATGTTACCTGGACCCAGTCTTTCTTTTCCTCCTCAGTCCTTGGGGGCAAAAAAAAAAAAAAAAAAAAAAAAGAAAAGAAAAAAAAGAAAAAAAAAAGATGTTGGGTTAGGCAGGCCAAGCAAAAGCAACTGGAGTGGTGAAGAGCAAATGTTTTGGAGTGAGACCTGTGTTTGACCCTCTACTCCTTCACTTATAGCTTATATGACCTTAGGCACATCATTTAACCTGTTTGAGCCTTTTTATTCAATAGTTACTAATACTTTCCAGTCTTGGTGCTAGGAATTTGGGCCTCAGAGAGGACCCTACCCTCAAGGGAGAGACAGGGACAATACAGGGGTATCAGTGGTGTGACAGGGTGAAAATTGGGCTGAGGAGTCCAGAAGAGGAGACCTACCCCAGGCTGGAGTTTGGGTGAGGGCTGGAACACAAGGGTTTCCTGAAGGAGGTGTTAAGCTTCAGGTAGAGGGGTAAAGGTGAGGTGTGTATAAGAGTATGGAACATAAAAGAAACCATAAATAGTTCCCTCTTGCTGGAATGTCAAGTTTGAGAAAGAAGGGTAGTTTATTTTTCTTCACTTGTAAAATGGAGATGATAATTATCAGTCTGGGTTGTTCTGAGCAGTAACTGAGGTGACATGCACATGCCCAGCATAATCCTTGGTGCACTAGATGTTCAATTAATGTGAATTTCCCCTTCCCTTTGCCTTTCTTCCCCAACTCTCCTGTCTGCCCTGCAGTTTTCCAAGACTTCTGCCCTGGTTGCAGCCCCATCA